TTTCTCTATGCAGATGCACCCATGAACTCATTAACTATCCTCTTTCCATTTCTCCTTGTACCCCTTTTCTAGCCTTTGGTAACCTCTATTCTATTCTCTACTCCTATGAGATTAGCTTTATAAGATTCCACATGTAAGTAAGGACATACTATGTTGTCTTTCTGTGCCTGACAAAGTTTTCCAAGTCTAACTGTAGCCAAAAAGATTATACAAAGGGCAGTTATGAGTTTACAGATATTAAAGGTTATTACAGCCAGGTATAGTAGTGCACATCTGTAACCCCAGCTGTTCAGTTGGCTGAGGTTGGAGAATCACAGATTCAAGGCTAGGCTGGTGACTTAGTAAGAACCTGCCTCAAAATTTTAAAAGGAGGGTTTTTGTTTTGTTTTGTTGTTTTTTTTTAAAGTTTGGGGCGTAGCTCGGTGGTAGAGCACTTGCATAGCATGTACAAGGAGGCCCTGGATTCTATCCCCAGCACCACACACACAAAGAAATAGTTCAAAAAATTAATTTAAAAAATAATATACTGTACATGTTATTATTTAAATGTATTATATATAATACACACACACACACATATATATATATATATAATTTTTTTACAAAGTCAGCAAAAAGTGGTGATGGCACAAGAATAAAATAGTGCAATCAACAGACCTAGGGAAAAGTCCCAATATGTTTTAGAACTTAGTATTTGTATAGGTCTTGTCTCTGAAACTTCAGGGCCAAGTGTTTGTTTCTGAGTTAATTTTTGGGTTTCAGAAAGACAATATGGTGTGATCAGTAGCTTCCAGCAGGATCTAAGGAAGAGTCTGGTAGTTGAATCATCAGTAGTTATTCAAGTGGCATACAGATGGGATAAAGAAAGATGAAATAAACCAGGCGCAGTGGTGCATGCCTGTAATCCCAATGACTTAGGAGGTTGAGACAGGAGGCTCCCAAGTTCAAAGCCAGCCTTAGCAACTTAGGTAGGCCCTAAGCAACTTAGTGAGACCCTATCTCTAAATAAAATATAAAAAAGGGCTAGGCATGTGGCTCAGTTGTGGGGCACCCCTAGGTTCAGTTTTATTGGTGGAGGTGTCAATCCCCTGTACCAAAAAAAAGATGGTGTAAAAATGGAATGTCAGGCTGGAGACATAGTTCAGTTGGTGGAGTGCTTGCCTTGCATGCACAAGGCCCTGGGTTCAATCCCCAGCACCATACCAAATAATAATAATAATAATAATAATAATGTCATCCCATGTCTTGTCATCAAATGAATTCCAGGGGAAATATTTGTTTTGTAGTGCCTTTTGGACTTCAGATTTATATAAACAAAACAAACAAACAAAAACACCTCTTTTTCAATTCAGCAGGGAAGTGATGATTTATAAATTTTTGGAAAGTTGGACCCCTGCCTCATAACTATATATTAGATTCCAGAAAACGTAGATCATTTGTTTACTTTGAGTGTGTTAAGGGAAGCCTTCATGAGCAAGCCAGAAAATCCATACACCAAGACAAGTTCATCCCATAGAGGTGCTGGGCACCAGCGTGCATATCAGCAACTCAGGCTTGCTAGTGGGCAAGGAAGTCTCATAGGAATCAGCACACATTATTTTCTCTTTCATCAGGCAGCAAAAATATCCCACAATGACAACATGCAGTGCTGACAGAAGGTGGGAGGACCAGTCATGATTTTTTTTTTTTTTTAAGAGGCACTAGCCAATTTATTTATTTATTTATTTATTTAAAGAGAGCGTGAGAGAGGAGAGAGAGAGAGAGAATTTTTAATATTTATTTTTTAGTTCTTGGCGACACAACATCCTTGTTGGTATGTGGTACTGAGGATCGAACCCGGGCCGCACGCAAGACAGGGTCTAACCATCTTGCCTGGTCTGGTCTCAAACTCCTGGCTTGAAGTGATCCTCCCACCTCAGCCTTCCCAGTAGCTAGGACTATAGGCATGCACCCCACCAGGTTCACTCTTCGTTGTTTAAAATACAAGTGGAGGAAGTGTGGCTTGCATCATTTTTTTTTTTTTTTTAAAGAGTAATTGGTGGGGCTGGAGTTGTGGCTCAGTGGTAGAATGCTCACCTAGCACATGCGAGATCCTGGGTTCTATCCCCAGCACCACATAAAAAATAAATAAAATCAAGGTCTTGTGTCCAACTACAACTAAAAAATAAATGTTAAATTAAAAAATAATAAAAAAAGGAATTGGGCACTATCATTTTGGGGAACCTATTTGGTTAGAATTAAAAGCACCAGCCTGAGAGTACTTAATTTAATTCTGGTGGTGTTTGGTTATTATGATGAAAATCTAGAAACATTAAATGTGTCTCAGTTGGGAGAATTTATAGTGTGTCCATCTGTATGCCTAGAGAAGGAAAGATAATGTGTTAGCAAGAAACAGTTGCTAAGGAATACTGATTGTATCTTGGTAACTTGTTACTGAGCATGTCTGAGGCTAATATTTCCCCCAAATGGTAGGATGAAAAATGTATAAAGAAAAAAGTGAATGTGAGAAAGGGAGTAGAAACAGCAAGTTTATGTGGCTTCCAGGAACACGGAAGCAAAGTTGGCTGAGCTCAGCTGGATTCCTAGAGGGTGGAGTCTGTTCCCCACATGACAAAAATAGCATCATCCTCTTTCTGCTTATGGCTGTATGATGATGAAAGTGAGATTTACCTGGTCTCCCACCACTGATGAAATGACCCAACTTCTAGGTGTAAATCCTTCCAGACAAAACTCAGTCTTGATAACTGTCAATCACACACCTTTCTATATATACATTTAGTTGTAGATTTTATTTTTATATATATATATACATATACACATACATATATTTATATGTATGTTTTTAAGTTGTAGATGAAAACAATCTATTTAATATTTATTTTTAGTTGTAGTTGGACACAATACCTCTATTTTATTTATTTTTATGTGGTGCTGAGGACTGAACCTAGGGCCTTGCACGTGCTAGGCAAGAGCCACAGCCCCATTTATTTATTTTTAAATTTTATTTTTTAGTTGTAGTTGGACACAGTACTTTTATTTTGTATATTTGTTTTTATATGGTGCTGAGGATTGAACCCAGGGCTTCTCACGTGCTAGGTGAGCGTGCTCTACTGCTTGAGCCACAACCCCAGCCCTATTTATTTTTTTTATGTGGTGCTGAGGATGGAACCCAGGGCTTCACGATGGGAGGCAAGTGCTCTACCACTGAGCCACAACGCCATCCCCGCACACACCTTTCTTACTGTGCCACAGGTGAGCCATCTATAGGGGGCTGTATGGTGTTCTTTTAAATCTGATTTATTCCCTTACATCTCCATTTAAGAACCATTAGACATTTTCTAATTTTTCACCCCTACAACCAGTGTGCATGCATGTTTTGAGGTATTAAACTCAGGATTAGGGATTACTGAGAGCTTTACTTTTAATACATTCTATCCAACTGCTTTCCAAAAAATATGTAAACAATTGCGCTTCCCACCAGCAGTCTATTTTCAGCCTTACCATTACTGCGTGTGTTTTGTCATGCTGGGAATCCTAAAGGGATATGTATCATTTAATAAAATATACTGTTAGATTGTATTCCTGTTTTTTATTCTCTTTATCCATCATATGGGTTGTGCATTTGGCATTTAATAGGTTTTTTAGTTTGTTCACTTTTTGTTTTGTTGTTGAACTTGGGATTGAACCCAGGATGCTTAACCACAAAGCCACATCTCCACCTCTTTATTTTTTGAGACAGGGTCTCGCTAAGTTTCTTAGGGCCTCGCTAAATAGCTAAAGCTGGCTCTGAACTCCTGCCTCAGCCTCCTGAGCTGCTGAGATTACAAGTGTGCACCAGCACTCCAAGCCCTAGAGTTTTTATATGAGGAAATTAGAATTCAGCAGCAGGCATATAAAATATATATATATAGACCTATCAATCTCTATTTAATCAATGACAGTAAATATGTGGAAGGATGGAGCATTTAAGCAAAAGATAAGATCATATCAGGTAGTGGTTCTGGGCTTGTGAAGTGGCTGGATGATTATACTTGAGGTACACTTAAAGACCCCCAGTCTGGTTAGGGTCTTTGGCGGGGCTGAGCCCTGGGTGTGGAAGCATGGGTCGGGTTGGGTGGGCTTGCCGGGAGCCACTTCTTCAGCCCTGTCTGCCCTGCCCTCAGCTCATGATGGAGCAGTCTAAGAAGTCCTCGCTTATGGTGGCCCGCAGTATCCTCAACAACAAGCTCATCAGCAAGAAGCTGGAGCGCTACCTTAAGGTGAAGGCGCACCCCTTTTCCCCACCAGTGAGCCCTGACTCCAGATACTCGTCCCCACCCCAACCCTGATTCTGCGGCCCCTCGTCCCTTCAGTGTCTTCGCTTCCTCTTGCAGGGAGAGAACCCTTTCACTGATAGCCCCGAGGAAGAGAAGGAGCAGGAGGAGGCGGAGGGCAGCGCCCTTGACGAGGGGGCATCGGCCGAAGCTGCGGGAGTCGTGGAAGGAGAAGAGATTGCTCTGGTCCAGCCCCCTGTGCCCCCTGAGCCGGCCCCCGGGACAACGTCGCCACCGCCGCCACCGCCGCCGCCACCGGAAGAGGAGGAGGAGGAGGGCGTCGTACCCCTGCTGGGCGGGGCGCTGCAGCGCCAGATCCGCGGCATCCCGGGCCTCGACGTGGAGGATGACGAGGAGGGCGGTGGTGGTGCCCCTTGACCCGTATTCCAGGCGGGCGGAGCCCGTGTGGCCCGCGTGGCCGAGGCTGGAAGTAGAGCCTAATAAAAGTTCTTCCTATCCACCTAGTTTGTGTGTCAGTGGGCGTTGCCGGCGGGTGTGGGGAGTGAGCGAAGGGATACGCTTGCGCGCGGGCGGGAGAAAGAGAGCGGTGCGCGCCTGCGCAGGGGATTAACCCTGAGGCACTGCAGCTCGACCACAACTCCCGAGATGCTATGGGCGCCCATCCTGAGCAACCCGGAAGGCAAGGTAGAGCGACGGGGGCGGGCCCTGCGAATGGGCCAGCCAATGGTAGCGTGCGTAAGGAGTGACGTATGCACCTGGTCTTCCAGTAGCCGACGGCGAGAGGTGCGTTGAACGCATGCGTCTTGTGGAAGGGTAGAAAAAGGGTCTGCTGGCGAGTCGCGTCGAAGATATGGAGCAGGGCTACGGAGGTTAGTATAAACTGCTTGGCGCGTGGCGAGAAGGCACTGTCCGGCTAATGAAGCCCCCGTCCTGCGGGTTCGCGTTATCGGGCTTTTAGTGGGAGCTCGGTTGCCGCAGGCCCGGCCCTGCGGAGAGGCTGCCGGGACGCGCGCGCACCGTTCATTGGTCCTCGGCGCAGTCGCTCCTGGGCCGCTGCGTGCGGATTGGTCGTCAGGGCCCTAGGGGGAGGTCGGGGCTCGACGGGCCGACGCTGCCGCTGGCTTCTGGGGGCGCCTCGGGTCGTCCGGGCAGCTTTTACCCCAAGATGCGGCGAAGCCCGGGCAGGCATTAGCGACCTCGAAGTTCGAAGTCCCGCCTTTCTCTTCCGAAGACGCCACAAAATGGCGGCGCCAGGGGGCGGAGCTTCAGCGTCCGGTCGTGGGGTCGAGGCCCGGGCCTAGGGTCTGCGGCCAAGGGTCGAGTGCGGCGGCTTGGGGGGCGGTCTCCTGTCTCCGAGCTGCCGCACCAGGGTCGTTCCGTGGAGGCTCGACGGGGCCTCCTTGGGAGTACTAGGCTTGGGCACCCGTCCCGGAAGCCATCCGGGCTGTGCGGGGTCAGACTTATCGCCGCCAGCCCCGCGGTGCTGCGCGGCCGGGCCGAGTGCGGCCCCATCTGGTGTTTGTTGGCCGTGGGAGCTATAAACAGCGTAATTCGATATCTTGAGTATCTTGATCAAGATGTTGAGTATCTTGTGTGCAAAGGTGGAAACCTGATGTGCTTTGGGCTATGCGACAGATTGGCCATTCTCCTTCAGGCATCCTCTTATGGGGCTAGAGAACAACCCTCCATCTCCATTGGCCTGAAGTATCTGCCTACCTCAGAGACGATCTTCTGGAGTTCCTTGTTTGCTGTCTCTGGAATGAGCCTCCTGGGAGGCCTTCTGCTCTGTGCTGAGAGCCAAGTTTGCCTATAGGGAACAGTTGGAACATGCCTGGTGGGGCCCGACCTAGAGCAGAAAACTTAGTGGTCTGATGAAAGGACGAGGGTCTTGAGAGGCGCAAAGTAGGAGGATCCCAGCAGCAGGAATTGCTGAAAGAAAGGTCCTGAGGGCGGTGCACGTGTGCTGAGTTTCTGCAGGATCTTAGGAGAGGCTCAGCCTGGCTGTCCTGGCATTTCGATGTCTGGCTAGATCTTCCAGAATTTGCCTTCCTACCCACCAGATTTTTTTTTTTTCTTGGTACCAGGGATTGAACTCAGGGGTACTCAACCACTGAGCCACATCCCCAACCCTATTTTGTATTTTATTTAGAGACAGGGTCTCACTGAGTTGCTTAGCGCCTAGCAATTGCTGAGGCTGGGTTAGAACTCTTGATGCTCCTGCCTTCACCTCAAGCAGCATCAGGCTCCACACCCAGCTCCGCCAGATATTTTTGTAATCCTGTTTTAAGGCCCTTTAGTTTAGAGAGCCTCCCACCCCCACTTCCTGCCTGCCTTAAACCTTTAAGAACCAATTAAGAGGGCTGGGGATATAGCTCAGTTGGCAGAGCGCTTGCCTAGCACATGTGAGGCACTGGATTCGAGCCTCATCACCACAAAAGGTATTGTGCTCATCTATTAAAAAAAAAAAAAAAAGAACCAATTAAGATGCTGCAACATCCTTGATTTCTTCTGTCTCAGGAAGTGTTTTAAGATTGGGTTGATACACCAGTACCTCACAGGGAAGCAGCGAGTGCCCCAAGGTTAGTGTTTATTGCAGAACAGATGAGGGTGGCTGCTTAGTTTAGCAGGATGGAGTAGTGAGGGGAAGGTATAGCTTGCAGAGGTGAACAGAGAGCAAACCTAAAGCATAGTAGAACAAAGGATCAGGTCCTCTAACCTCTGCTGTTAGACTCTGAATGACATTCAGGGGCAGTGCTTGTCATGTGTAGGTACATGGTAGGCATTTGTACTAGTAAGGGGAGCTACATTCTTGCTTCATCAAAGTGAAGTCATTTGACTGGCATGGGCAGTCAACCTCCTGTTCCCTGCTCCAGGAACACAGATGAAGAGAAGCTATTTCCACACTCTTGCCTTCAGGAACAATGGGGCCCAGTTTGATGCCTTAGGGCCAGGCTGAGGTTCTGGGACTTTAAGGCCTGGGGAGCATTAGAAAGTTTAAAATCAGAAGGGAATCCCAAGGGGCACAGTTTATATCTCCAGATTCCCAAGTTTCTCTCATATGGGGTACTCTAGATGGGCTGAGCTGGTTTCCCAGCTGCACGGTGGGTGGGTCAACCAGCATGGGGGACTGTGTCCCAATGCACAGCTTGTCCTGTGATATCTTCAGTTGTGATGAGGTTGAGGGTGACTGCCCAACCTGTCTTCCAGTCCTGTTTCCCTCCCCTTTTTTTTTCGGTTTTGGCCTTAACCTGACCCGAGTGTGATGAAGCATCAGCCTGTTGGGTGGGAAGATGACATAGAGGGATGATGCTGCTATGGCTATGCTGCCTTCTCCTAAGGCTGGCACTGAACTCCTGGGAGGATGTCACTTTAGACTCCTCAGAGAACCTTAAAGCCCACATTCCCTAGTATGTTAAATAAGATCTTAATACACAGGGTTTTCTTTTCACAGGCTATGGGGCATGGAGTGCTGGACCTGCAAACACCCAGGGTAAGCTGATCCTGCATAGTGTGTTACAGTATGAACTTCCTTCACCTGAGGCCCCAGTGTGGCAGAGCCGAATATGATGCTTGCCCAGATCAAGAGGGGTAGTGACCCTGGGGCCAGCAAGCATTTTCTCTAAAGGTTCAAATAATAAATATCTTTGGTTTTGCATGTGATCTCTGTAGTGCAGAAACAGCCACAGGTAGGTCAGTGTGTACTTAATATCTGTATATTGAGATTTGAATATCAGAATTTTTGTGTTGTGAAATATTCTTAATTTTAGCAAAAAATTTCTTTCCTTTTTTTGGTACTGGGGATTGAACACTGGGCTGCATCCCCAGCCCTTTATTTTTTGAGACTGAGTCCTGTCTCAGGCTCTGGAGTTGCTGGTATTACAGGCATGTTCCATTGCACCTGGCTAAAATATATTTATTTGTTGTAGGTAAATAGATAGCTGAGAGCATCATCAGTTTTTTTTTCCTGTATATGATTGATATACTTTATTTTTCATTATAGCTTTAAATTTATAGAATTAAGTGGATAATACATAGAGTTCTTTATATCTTTCTCTACCGAGGCATGGTTTTTTCTACTAAGATCTGAAAGGAAACATGTATGAGAGTATAGAACTGTGATTCCAGCTGCTTGGGAGGCTGGGCAGGAGAATCCTAAGTTCAAGGCCAGCCTGGGCAATTTATGAACCCAGTCTCAAATAGGGCTGAGAATATAGTGGTAGAGTAGTTGCCTAACGCGCACTAGGTTCTAGATTTGATTCCCAGTACCACAAAAAAAAAAAAAAAAAGGTAGGGGCTATTTTTCTCAGTAGTAGAGCATATGCTTAGCATATAGGAACCCATGAGTTTAATCCCTAGCACCCTCACCCCAAAAAGAGATCTAACATTTGTATGTTACATCTGTGCCTACTAATAAACCAATTTCGATACATTAGTAACTAGTTTATTCTGCGTTAAGATTCACTGTATTTTATAAGTAATTCATTTCATGTCAGTTTTTATGTAATGAAATGAGTTTTTTTCTCTGACCATTTAGAAAAGTAAAACCGTTTCTTAGCTTGAGGGCTGTATAAAAACAGGCAGTAGGTTGGGTGTACACTAGCATTCACCTGTAATTTGAACTACTTGGGGTGCTTAGGCAGGAGAATCTTAAGTTCAGGGCCAGTCTTACCTTGGCAAGCTAGCAAGACCCTGTCTCAAAAGAGGTCTGAGCCAGGCGAGGTCTGTAATCTCAGCGGCTTAGGAGGCTAAGGCACGAGGATCCCAAGTTCAAAGCCTCCCTCAGCAACAGTGAGGCACTGAGCAACTCAGACCCTGTCTCTGAATAAAATACAAAATAGGGCTGGGGATGTGGCTTAGTGATCAAGTGCCCCTGAGTTCAATTTCTGGTACCAAAAACAACAAAAAGTCAAGGACGTAGCTTAGTATGGATTGAGTGCTTGGTTAGCATGCTTGCAGTCCTGGAAATTCTGATCTCTAGTAGTATATATTTTTTTTTTTTAAAAAAAAAGGCAATGTGCAGGCAGGCTGCATGTGGCCCAGGGCCTTTTGCTGACCCTTTTTCTAGAGTCTAGATCATTATTTTTATCTTATTTTGAAGGACCAAAATATGCTGTCAGGTGGTGAGGGTCTTTTGTTTTCTTCCAGCCCCTATTCCAGGGAGTCAGGGCTTTCTTTGTTTTCTGGGCTTGGACCCTGTCCCTACCGCCAGTGGAAGTGGGTTCCTTTTCTGTGGATTACCCTATGTCCCAGGAAGAGGCCTCCCAGGTCCCTTGTGGCACAAATGACCCCTTACTCATTTGTGTTAAGGACATGATTTTCCACTGATACCCTATTTGTGTGGTTGGCAGTCCCTGGGCTTTAGCACTGGTGAAATCTGACACCCCTCACATACTGGTGTTTGAACCTTTAGTGGCATTCTTCCACTAAGCTATAGCCCCCACCCATTTTTGTTTTAATTTTGAGACAGGATCTCATGAAGTTGCCCAGGCTGGCTTTGAACTTGTGCTCCTCCTTTCTCAGCCTCTTAAGTAGCTGAGATTATAGGTGAACATGCATTACTGTGCCCAGTTTGAGACTGACCTTTTTTAAGGGCTGTCCCTGGGGTCCAGGCTAGCTTCTCAGCTGATATTCCACAGTGGACCAGTTTCCTGAAGTTTATGCAACCTCCTTTCCCTCCCTAGTCCTCATGAGGGAAGTTGGGTTTGCCTAGGAGAGATCACTTGATATTGCTTAGTCTGCTCTCTGTAGCAAATGAGCAAGTCTAAGGGTAATCAAGGGTGCCACAGGAGCACTTCTGTGGCCACTGCAGCCTTGGCTCTTCTGGAATGAAGTAAAAATTGTCCCTTCAGAGGGTTTCAGACACCATTGTTCTACCAGTAAAGCTCTGAGTGTTTTGGTTTTTTTTTCTCTTAAGGTACATATGGAAGTGGTGTGGCCAGCTGGCAAGGTAAGCTCTTTTGAGTTTTATGTAGGCAAGTAAGCCTATGAGCAGGCACCCCTGCCTTCCATCCTAGCTGACTTCACAGCTTTCTTGAAGGCTGGGCATGACAGGCCATCAGCAAGTTTTAGTGTTGTTTTCCTGGCTCTATTCCTAAGGATCCAGCTGGCCAGAACTGCTATACTGAGCATGAGGTGCTGTGGAGACCCAGGGGCCAAAGCCAGCCTTAAGAGGCTGTGATTGAGAGCAAACTGGGTCTGTCAACTGCCCAAACTGCCACTCCCAGGCCCTCAGCCACCTCTGACTTGAGAGGGAGAGCAGGTTCTAGGCTTTGACCCAGAAAACCCACCACTCAGCTGAGGCTGCTCTTTGCTCTGGCCTCTTCCTGCTGCATTTTGGCAGGTTAGACACACAGTGTGGAGTGATGCCAGCAGCACTTGGTCCCATAACTCTCTCCTTTGTGGGTGGACCAGGGGTGCTCTTGCACACATGTCTGCCATAGACAAGCCTCATGGCTGCTGAGATCTGACTTGTTTCTTTTTTCCTGTGATAGGTTATGACAACTACAATTACTATGGTGCCCAGAACACCAGTGTCACTGCAGGAGCAACCTACAGCTATGGCCCAGCCTCATGGGAGGCCACCAAGGCTAATGATGGCGGCTTGGCAGCGGGGGGCCCTGCCATGCATATGGCATCCTATGGCCCAGACCCATGCACCGACAATTCAGATTCTCTCATTGCCAAGATCAACCAGCGTTTGGACATGATGTCCAAGGAAGGAGGCAGGGGCGGGAGCAGCAGCGGTGGGGAGGGCATGCAAGACCGAGAGAGGTGAATATCAACCTGAGCCCTTTACTGGGAGACTCTTGGCTGCCTAGATTTATGCAGATGTTAATGGATACCCACTCTTCTTGCCTTTCTCATGACTTGGGCCATTTGGTGATTGCAGCCGGGCAGGGGGCGAGGGCAAAGCATTGCAATAGTATTTCATATTTAGTTTTGGATGGAGGCTTGAGGCATAGTTCTTGATTAAGCTGCCTCAGATGACTTATGTATCACGCTACTCTTGTGGCCAAGGGCTCTATGCCCTTCATTCAATAATGGAGGGTGTTGGTGGGGAAGGGCTGTGGGTACAGCTCAGTAGTAGAGCTCTCTCTTAGTATGTGTGAGGCCCTGGGTTCCATCCCAGCACTGCCAAAAAATGTAGTCAATGGTGTTTTGCCTTCATAGCATTCAGGAGGGGTACAGAGTGGTTTGGTTGGTTGGTCTGAATGTAAGGGGTCATTTTTGCTGGAGGTGCTGAGGTTATGCTGATTGAGGGTAGAAAGGGACACTCTAGATAGTTGGGCAGAGCCCTTAGCTGCCCCTAATGGCTTGTGCTTCCTTCACAGCTCCTTCCGCTTTCAGCCATATGAGTCCTATGACTCCAGGCCTTGCTTGCCGGAACATAATCCCTACCGCCCCAGCTATAGCTACGACTATGACTTTGACCTGGGGACCGACCGCAATGGCAGCTTTGGTGGGCAGTACAGCGACTGCCGGGACCCAGTCCGTGAGCGGGGCTCCCTTGATAGCTTCATGAGGGGCCGGGGCCAGAGCCAAGGCCAGGGCCAGGGCCGCTTCCAGGACCGGAGCAATTCCAGCACCTTCATGCGCAATGACCACTTTATGCCACCCTCGGCTTCCTCGGAGCCCCTTTCTGTTTCTTGGAATGAGCTGAACTACGTGGGGGGACGAGGTCTGGGAGGCCCCTCCCCCAGCAGGCCACCTCCTTCCCTCTTCTCTCAGTCCATGGCCCCTGACTATGGCATGATGGGCATGCAGGGAACAGGCAGTTATGACAACACTATGCCTTATGGATGTGGTCGGTCACAGACTCGGATTCGGGATCGGGTAAGCACGAAGTTCCATCAGGTCTTGACTTTTCTTCTTATTAGCTCTACAGAGGTTAAATTTATGTACTTCAAGGCCCACTCATTTTTAAGTGTACAATTCCACTTTTAGCAAGTTTATAGATTTGTACAACTATCAACACAATTTTGTTTTACAATATTTCTATTAACTCAAAATGAAACTGTTGCGAGTTAGCAGTCATTCCCTATTCCCTCCCCCAGGCCCTGACAACCATTTATCTGTTTCCTGTCTCTGAATTTGCCTCTTCTGAACATTTCATGTCAGTGGAATCACACATGTGGCCATTTGTGTCTGACTTCTTTCACTGAGCACGATATTTTCTTTGAATTTCAACTATGTTGTCTTTTCTCTGTTTTTCAAAAAGACTGTTTTCTGCTTTTGTTCTTAGATCTTAAGAATTCTGTTCTTTGTTTTTGTGGGATATTTTAATGGCCCAGGGAAGTGGTACATGGGGTGTGCTTATATCTGTAGCCCAGGAGGAGAGGGTTTGAGCGCTTCGGACCAGACAGCATGGGCAGGAAGCGAAAGCAGTTTCCCATGTACGAGGAACCAGAAGCCAAACTGGCTCGGGCTGACAGCGAAGGAGATTTTTCTGAAAACGGTATGCCCTGGGGCCAGTGGGCTGGGTGGACAAGATGAGTCAGTTGCCTAGTAGACACGAGGGAAACCAAGGGTGGTGTGTTAACCCCAAGTTCCCTCCACCCCTACTGTGTCAGGATGGACTTGTTGGTCTGGTTAGTAAGCATAGGAGAGTGAAAACAGGGACTGACTTTTCCTTTTTCCCTTGTATCTGGCAGATGATGGAGCTGTCGATTTCCGGTCAGGAGATGAAGAATTCAGGGGTGTAAGTCCACCTTTAGGGGCCAGCCCCCTTTGTCTGAGTGGGATTTGTTTCTTTTATTGCACTTCTCCTTCAAGAGGTGGGAATAGCTACCCTGCTAGACTCCACTCTGCCTATCTCTGAGTGGATTTGGAACCCCAGCTTGTAGCTGAGTTTCTAAGATTTTTCAGACAAGAATGATTCTCTTTCTAAAAGAGCTTCTAGCCCCTTGCCCTGGCCCTATGTAGTATTGGACCCAGCCATGTGGATAGTAAATGCATGGGTTGTGCAAGCTGAGACTGGCAGACACACACTGGAGGCTCATTGGCTGCCAGTTACATGCCGGGTGTAACTGACCCAAGTCCATGTTTTTTCTGTCCTCAAAACTAGCCACAGAATAGTGGCATCTAAAGCCAGGTCTCTGAGGGTACCTTCCCTGTGTTCTGCAAATTCTGATCCTTCTGAGGGGTAGATCCTAGAGAAGGTTTCCTGTATGAGAAGCCTTCTTCCAGGTTCTTTTTGATGGTCAGATAGGGTGGGGGTTCTCAGGATACAGTGACTATAGCTTTTGACTCTCACTTGCTTCTTATTCAGCTGGTTTAGATCTTTATTAAACCCATGGCATAAGTCTTGAGTCAGAGAAGCTGTACAAGTCTTCTGACTGCTACTTTAATCTTAGGCTCACTGCCTAAGGCATCAGCTCTGTTCAGGTATATAGTTAGAGGGATTGTGTTTTATTTACACCTGATTTGTTAGAATATTGAGTAAATACAAACAAATGCTTGGAAATTTGAAGCCTATTTTCAATTCAGAATGCTGGAATTAGCTTCCTACAGATTATAGCTTCTTTATATATATATATTTTTTAAGTTGTTGTCAGACACAATACCTTTATCTCATTTATTTACTTTTATGTGGTGTTGAGGATCAAACCCAACGTCTCGCACATGCTAGGCAAGCACTCTACTGCTGAGCCACATCCCCAGCCCCAAATCAGCTTAACCTACAGTTAATAGATGGGCTCCTGGTATTCTGGAGTGCAAAACTGCAGATGTGTATTTGCTAAGGGGCAAGTTTTGTAGCTTTAGAAAGAATTGAAAAAGGGTCAGTGACTTAAAGACAGAAAACTCATTATCACAGAGTCTCTGAAGGCAACCAGGTATAGCAGCAAGACTTTCAAGCTCCTCTCCAAAGTCTTGAGGCTTGTCCTGATGCACAGTGGCTCATTTCCTGGTGGAACAGCATCCTAGGTCTAGGGTAACACCATCTATCAGGTGTTGACATGGGCTGGACTTTTTGTGGAGAATTCTGGAAGTACTACCTCACTGCCCAACTTTGCATATGCCCTTTTTCAGGAGGACGAATTCTGCGACTCCGGGAGGCAGAGAGGTAGGCATTACCCAGTGTCCCTTGTAAAATGTCCTCTGTCTATCCCACATTTACCACCCATCACCCAGTCAGGGTGGGCTTATGAACATGCCACAGGCCTGCATAGAGGGGCCCATGACTCGGGGAAAAGGAGGGGCTGTGGCTGCTGGGTGGATATAAGTTGTGGTAATCACTCTGAGGCTTTGTTCCAAAATGTCTGGGGCATTATTTGCTGAAAAAGGATCCATTTGCCTTCCTTGGTGCAGGCTACAGAGTGGGGGAGTCCAACTCAGTGTCTGTGACATTTGTGGTGGTAGGAAGGGATAGTCTCAGAAGCCTAAGGGAAGAGGCCTCCGTTCTGGACCATCTTCTCTGTCTCCCTCCAGCCAGTGCAGGTTCCTGAACTGTCGTGAACTTTATAAATCCAGTCTGTCAGTTGCCAACCCAGAGCTGTGCCCTCAGGCTCCCTGCTGGGGATACTGGCACCTGTAGTGCCTGTGGGTATGTGACAGCAGATACCTGTCAGGGCTGGGAGTAAGGTAGTAGAGGGCAGCCTGTTAGATATACCAGGCCGAGGTCTCTAGAGTCAGCCATTGCTCAGCAGGTCTCGTTGGTCCAGAACAGGAGACCTAGGAGCCTAAAGTAAGCAGGAGCAAAGAACAAGATTCTACCCTTTGGAGGGACATGAAGAAACCTGAGCCACAGTCTGCCTGAGTCTCTCCAAAACTACTTGTTTCTCTTGCTGTCTGGCCCCAAGGATCATAAGCTGGCCCAGTTGTGGTAAATGGTGAAGGCCCTTGGCTTCTCCTCTTAGATTCTCAAGCTTAGCTGACTCTCTGATGTACCCCCACCCTACATATTGAAGCAGTTGTGTCCTTAGTACAGGACCACACCAAGTGTTCAGCAGCTATGCAGCCGGGTAAATGCTAAAGCAAAGGTGACGTGTTTATTGCGCGCAGGTCCTGCTACCTACCTGGGATGACTTTGCTATTAAACAGCAGTCATAGTTTCAGGCAGTGACCTCTTGCCAAAAGTCCCACACGCCCTTTTGAGAGGCTTCTGAGCAGCGCACGCCGGTCGCCATCTTCGTGGGACAGTATCGGGACTGGCATCAGGGGTAGGGGTCACAGTTCAGATGCTTATCCAATCTTTTCCAGTATTCAGCCCTGGCCCTGAGCCTCAGAACTTGCCTGGTCTCTCACTGGGACGCTGGCCACAAAGCTCTCCAATGAGCTCCTGTGCTGGCCCCAGGGGGCAGATGGGAGGACCAATTGGTCTCTTCCCACTTTTGTTTCTAGGATTGCTTCCCACACAGCCTTGGGAAAGCCCTAGGTTGTTGTCTGTGAACGGAAGATGGAGGTTGGGCCAGCAAGGACTGTCAGACCTGCTGAGGCCCTAGTTCAGAAGAGGCTGTCAGGATGGTCATCCAGAGGGCAGTAGAGTGGCTTGTTTTATTTCCCAGGCCTTCCAGCTGCTGTGTTGGTACCTGGGGAGAATTACTTTCTTTAAGTGACAATGTGAGAAGACCTAATGATAGGGCACCAGATTGGACTAGCAAACTGGGGCAGGTCAGAGCAGACGGGCTACATGTGAGTGGGATGGACTTGCCATCCTTGCCTTGTTAGGCCTTGTGAGTGAGGTGACTGACTCCTCTGGGTTCTCATCAAAGACCCTTGTCCATCAGGAGCCTTTGATGGCCACACCTCAGGGTGTCCTGACTCTGCCACATTGTGGAGGCAGAGGCCGGACATGGGCATAGGGTGTGCTGGCCAAACTGCAGCCCCCAACAAGGCCTTGGAGCTCAGTTCCTCTGCAGACTCCTCAGAGCATCTCGAAGGGACTTCTTTGTTTCAGGAGAGAAAGATGAGGAGGACGAGGAAGTGAAGAAGAGAAGAGAAAAGCAAAGGAGGAGAGACAGGATGCGGGACCGAGCAGCTGACAGGTGAGAAGCCAAGAGGATGAACAGAGCCAAGGATTTAGGCACAGACCCCTTGTTTATTGTGGCCAGACCTGGGCACTATCTAGGCTTTACTGAGCTTACCTGTTCTGGCTCCATAATTTAGGAAAGTCTGGTTTAATCTGAATCCCAAGTGTCAGGAAATATTAAGCCTAAGTCAGTGTAGACAGAACGAGGGAAACAATTGAGAACATGTAGCAAAGACAGGTGTAGTTGCATTTCTGCTCTTTCTTGCTGAATCAATCTCTGGCGGATTTCTTTCTCAGTCTCACATCTGGAATTATACCTTGCTGGCAAGACTGTGTGGCCCATACATGCCCAGCAGGGGTCTCCCTTGTGCTCCAGCAAGCCTGAGGGGTGTCCTCTCTCCTAGCTTGGCATTTGGCATTCCAGAAAGTGACCTTCATTTAGCAGAGCTGGCAAAAAGGTGACTTGGTGCTTTGTCCAAATCCAGATCACCTCTGGAATAAGATATAGCAAGAATATATGTATACATCATCCTACCGTCCAGATTTTGCAGCTTCTCTGTACAGGTTCTCTTTTTATCTTAAAGCTCAAACAGGACAGATTTTTCCATGCAAAGAAATGCTTGGCAAAAAACAATAGAGACTGGGAAGTCACAGGGTCATTTCTTCGTAAGTGGTACAGAAACTCATGAAAACTTTTTTCTTCAACAGATAAATGACTGTTAGGTTAGGTCTATTTTCATATAACATGGAAACTGAAATAACTTTAAAAAAAAAAAAGAAATCTTTAGACAGACTACACTGGTAGCCAAGGATCTCAGTCATCTTAGATTGTTACAGGGGAGGTAAAAATATAGTAGGGAAGTATGGATTCCCTGCCTTTCTTTGGTAGCTTTCTTCTAGTTCTTTTCATGGAACTCATGAAATAGTCCTCTTTGCTCCTCTGTTTGGAGTTGTCTATAAAAGCCAGAGTGTCTTATGATGTGGTCAGAGATCAAAACCAGGTAGGGAGAAGTTTGAGTTGGCAGATGAGGAATCCTGAATGCCACCTGCCTGCACCCTTAACCCTGTCGGTTGGGGTTGTACAGGGGTGCTGCAAGCTGCTCTCCCTTGCCATACAACCTGATTGCATTTGGTGAAGCTTTGGAAGCACACGACAGGAGCTTAAGCTTTTATTTATAGAATCCAGAATGTTAAGTCTTAAGGAAGAAATTATTTTGTGTTGTGAACTTTGAATTATGTAAAGTCTTCAGAAATTTTTTTTCCCCTCAGTACTGCTGATTGAACATAGGGGTGCTCTACCACCAACCTGGCTTGGGACTTGGGATCCTCTTGTCTTAGCCTCCCGAGTCACTAGGATTACAGGTGTGCAGTGCCGCAGCAACTAGAATTTTTCTCTCACATAAAATAAGATTGTCACATGTCATCTTGGTGGCTAAAGACAAACCCATCTGAGAAGCTGTGGAGTTAAATACCAAGTTCCCAGAGCAGTCAACTAGAGTTTGGGAAGTCCACAATTCTAAAAAGTCACCATCTCAGGGTGTTTTCTTAGAGAATTTGGGCTAAAGAGAGACTGATATGTTAAAGAGTTATTGTGTGAATCATTTTCCTGAAGTAGCTGCACGGCTGTATCCTGTTCTTCAGATGGTGGGGGTAAGTTTGGGTAACTGCTGCTCTGCCTCCCTGCAAAAAGTGAGAAGCCTTGGTTAAAATATTGTGTTTCCTTTACCATTTCAGCTCTACCCAGAGATGATCTGGTGATCTTACCTCACCACTGTTCTTTTCATGTTCCTTCTTCAGGATTCAGTTTGCCTGTTCAGTATGCAAGTTTCGCAGCTTTGAAGATGAAGAAATCCAGAAGCATTTGCAAAGCAAGTTCCACAAAGAGACACTGCGATTTATAAGTACCAAGCTTCCTGACAAGACAGTAGAGTTCCTCCAGGTAAAGGACACTTGGCCTCCACTGCAGCATTTCCCAACTGTTCCACAGGTGTCAGATCCCTTGCAGAGAAGGGAAGCGGTAGGGAAATAAGAAGCCTAAATATGATCAATTTCTCTTCCCAGATTAAAGTAGTTGTACAAATCACTGAGTCAGAGGTACAGTTGAGAGCTCCAGCTACCATAGTTTCTGCACAGAGCTCTCAGATAGGATCTTCCCACCCTCTGTGCAGGTGAGAAATATCGTCCTCTCATTTCATTTGATTCCATATCCCACCCCTCTAGGAATACATTGTAAACAGGAATAAGAAGATTGAGAAGAGGCGTCAGGAACTGATAGACAAGGAAAGCACAAAACCAAAACCAGATCCTTTCAAAGGTGAGTTGTGATGCCAGAGAGCCCATGGGAAGTGACCTTTATAATAGTATAAATGGGGCTAGGTGTGTAGCTTATTAGTAGAGTGCTTAGCATGCTAGAGGCCCAGGGTTCTATCCTTAGCCGAGAGCTGCTGAGAATGTGAAGTCAAGCCCCAGGGGAAGAACACTTAAAATGGAAAAAAATCCCAAGTCTGGCCTAATGGAGATAACAGTTCCACAGGCAGCTTATCAGAGTGATCTTAAACAACATGGTGGGCTCCCCCCTGCCTTTGTTATGAATAGAGAAGACTGGATCAGATCAGCAAAGTTGACATGTAGAATTCTTGAGTGTAGAGGCCAGCTGCTGTGATCCCACATGGCTGTGGGAGAGCAGGCAATGTATTTCTCATTTTGTCCTAACTGAATCATTAGAGAGCATTGCAGGGAGAAAATGTGGGACTTGTTGGGGAACAGTGAGAAAGCATCACTTGCTTGGGTTGCATAACAGGGATTGGCCAGGAACACTTCTTCAAGAAGATCGAGGCTGCACATTGCCTGGCCTGTGACATGCTGATTCCCGCGCAGCACCAGCTCCTCCAACGGCATCTGCATTCAGTGGACCATAACCACAACCGCAGGGTGAGTCTTCTGATGTGGGCATAGGTGCCTGGAGAGTGGAGCTCAGACCTTCTGTCTCATACCGAAAGTGTTCACACCGATAGGGTCTCTTGTTGTATTTCTATTGTCTGTCATTTCATTGGCTATAAGATTCACCCCAATTTCTGTTAAAAAGTAACTCTAGGCTGGGGTTGCGGCTCAACGGTAGAGTGCTCACCTAGCATATGTGGGGCTCTGGGTTTGATCCTTAGCACCATATAAAAATAAATGAATAAAATAAATCCAACTACGACTAAAAAATTAATGTTTAAAAAAAAAAAGTAACCCATGTAACATATTGAGACTTGTATCTTGGTTCCCCACCCCACCCCCACTATACACAGAAAAGAGAGAAAATAAGTTGCTTAGAATTTATCAAATACAATAGCTGAAATTGTCCTGATTTCAGAATGTTCTCTTAACCACCAGGTACATTCCCTAGTAGCTGAACAGCTATGGATATCTATAAGCTGAGGCTCAGGGCCATTAAGAGCCCAGGGGTGTGGGGATCCTAGGTTTCAGGACAAGTTGTTTCCTTGTGAGCTAATGGGTCCTGAGGCTAAATGTTTAACTTAAGAGTCAGCACGGTTTATTGTTGTTGTTGTTGTCAGTTTCTAAGTATATTCAATCCTCCTTACCCATGAGTTTCACACCCATAGACTGAAGTAGTTGCTGATCCGTATAACAACTATGTACATAGTAGGGAGGATATACGTGCAGTGCATAGGTTTTGTGCAGATGCCTATACCATTTTATATGTGGGCTTTAGCATCTTTGAATTTTGTGATCTGAAGGGTTCCTAAAGCTCATCCCCTGCAAGGCCAAGTATCTGTGTCTGGTGAAGGGTGATAAAGAGTGGGTGTGGCTAGTTTGGTCCATAGGCTGTAGTGTTGTGGACCTCTGGTTTAATGTGGCATTGTTGTTGGTTGAGACCTGTTTCAAGAAAAAAAATTAAAGGTAGATGGTAATTGTTGAGGAGAGGTAGAAAGATTTCACTTATTAGTTTTTCATGTTGGGAACTGTATAGTAGGGTCTTATACATACTAAGCACACAGTCTGCCATTGAAAACTATACCCCCAGCTTAAGCACCATATTTTAAAACATGTTTCTTTTTCTACATCAAGGTTTGAACCCAGAGTGCTTTATCACTGAGCTACATCCTAGCCCTTTAGTTTTTGAGGCAAGTCTTGGTAAATTGCCCAGGCTGGCCTGGAACTGGGACCCTCCTGCTTCACCCTCCCAAGTAGCTTCGATTACAGGCATTTTCCACCACACCCCACTAACAACATCTTTATCTATGGTTACCCAACTGGTAAATAGTGGTTTCTATAGATGCTTACCCATGCCACAGTACTATTAAAAATGAGCAAAAAAGCACTCTACAAGCAAGGGATTAGTATGTCAGTGTGCAAGCTCTAAAACACATTGCCATATTCTTATTGCTGCTGTTAAACTTATTGTGAAGGCTTATCCATTTCTCTTACTTAATCCATATAGTTTGTAATTGTAAATTTTCTTGCTTCTTTACATGGCATGTTGATAGCAATGGCATGTCTCTGTTTTTGTCTTCAGATTATTAAACTGTTCTACTTGGTTTCATTATCTTTATTCCAAAGACTGGCAGATGCTTGCTTTCTCTCGTTTTTGTAGCCTGACATTTTGATATTTGTGTCAACAAAGAATGGTATTAGTTGCCTCTGAGGGCTGCTTGGAATAATCTGGCTAGTTTGTTCTCTTACTCCTCTGCATTTTAGAAATCCCTTGTTTGGTTCCCTTTGCAGTTGGCTGCTGAACAGTTCAAGAAAACAAGTCTCCATGTGGCTAAGAGTGTTTTGAACAACAGACACATAGTGAAGATGCTGGAAAAATACCTCAAGGTTTGTATCTTGGAATCCAAGGGGCAGGAGAAGTCTTTGAAATGGAGGATGAGTATGGAATTATATCCAGAGTGTAGTATTTATGTAGTCAAAAGACTCCATTTATATTTTTATATATATTTATTTGTTCTAATTAACATGACAGCAGAATGCATTTGGTTCATTGTACACAAATGGAGCACAGCTTTTTCATTTCTCTGGTAGTATACGTCAAAAGACTCCAATTTTGAGTCTTTTTGATACTGGAGTGCATCAGCCCAGCCTTGGCTACGTCACAACTTGGAGGGTCAGCCTGAGCAACATAGTGAGACCTGTTTCAAAAAAAAAAAATTGAAGGTAGATGATAATTGTTGAGGAGAGAGAGAGAAATTTCACTTATTTGTTTTTCATGTTGGGAATTGAATGCAGGGTCTTGTACATACTAAGCACACAGTCTGCCACTGGAAACTACACCTCCAGCTTAAGCACCATATTTTAAAACATGCTTCTTAATTTTGTAGGGATGCTTTTTAGATTACTTTTTTCGGGGTAGGGACAATATTGACGTGTGCTAGTGAGAAGTGTGGCTTCTGAGGGTGTTAGACTTAGGTTAGAACCATCACTCTAATGGTTAATAGCTATGTGATCTCAGGCAAGTTACTGTTTGCTTTTTTGTTTTAATTTTTTTTTCTTTTTTTTGGTTCTGGGGGGATTGAACCCAGGGGCACTTAACCACTGAGCTACATCCCCAGCTCTTTTTATCTTTTGAGATAGGGCCTTGATAAGTTGCTGAGGCTGCCTTTGAACTTGCCATCTTCCTGCCTCGTCCTTTAAAGCCACTGGATTATAAGAGTGCACCATTGTGCTCAGCAAGTTAATGATCTTGAAGTCTCATTTCCTTATCTGTAAAGTGAGAACACAATCTTCATGTAAGGGCCATGAGCTTAAATTAAACTAAAATTTAAAAATAGTGTTCCTGTAATTGTTTATTAAGTCATTTAAGAAACCCTACATCCAAACTATGCCTCCTGGTTATATGTGTGAATAAAAAATGTGAAATAGGGGCTGGGCCTATTAGCATATATATGTGTGAGGCCCTGGGTTCAATCCCCAGTACCACACAAAAAAGTGAGGGGACTGGGGTTGTAGCTCAGTGGTCAAGTGCTTGCCTCACCTGTGTGAGGCACTGGGTTTGATCCTCAGAACCACATAAAAATAAATATACAGAGGCTGGGGCTGGGGCTCAGTGGCAGAGCACTTGCCTCGCACATGTGAGGCACTGGGTTCGATCCTCAGCACCACATAAAAATGAATAAACAAAATAAAGATATTTTTTTTAATTTTAAAAATAATAAAGATAAATATACTATGTGTTCATCTACAACTAAATACATATTTAAAAACAAAGAGAAAATTGCAAAATAGTTCTGGTGAAGATTTTCTGAGAAGTCTCTTTTGAAGCTGTTGGGAATTTAAGAGATTCTCTGGTGGACTCTGCCAGGCCTGAAAACATGAGCTCCCAGAAACCTGGCCTACTTCAAACTCATTTCTCCAACTGATCTGTGTTTCCTTTTGTATAGGGTGAGGACCCTTTCACTAATGAAACCGTTGATCCTGAAATAGAAGGAGATGACAATTTAGGAGGTGAAGATAAGGAAGAGACACCTGAGGAGGTGGCTGCAGAAGTCTTAGCAGAGGTGATTACAGCAGCCGTGAGAGCTGTTGATGGGGAAGGAGTGCCAGCTGGAGAGAGTGGTGAAATGCTGGCTGAAGGGCAAGTCCCAGTGGGTGCAACAGAGGCCAGCAGCGATCTCCACACTGAACAGCTACTGGAAGAGCAGACTTCCTGTGGAACATCATCTGAGAAGGGCAATACTGAAGCTGAGGCAGGAAGTGAGGCCACAGTGCTGGCAGCAGAGCCAGAAAATGCCCTAACAGTGGCTGTTCCTGCCCCGGCTGCTGTGGAATCTGAAGTGGGACAAAGTGATGCAGAGGCCAAAGATAATATTCATACAGAATAATCCTCTTTTTCCCTGTTTCAAGGGATGTATTATATAATGCATTGTTCTTTCTTCTTTGATTTATAAGCAGTACTAGGGTGTGTGTTACTGGAATATGCTGTAAGCTAATTTTGATGAAGAGACTCAACCATTTCCTTCTGAACTATGTAACCCATGGGCTTGTCTTACACAGTTGCGTGGCTTCCCACCTTGATTGAAGGCAAAAGTACATTCCCAAAGCAGCTGACATTTCTCTTTACATAGCAGTTGGAATAATAAAATTTAGGCAATTAGATCTTGATACTTGTTAAATATAGCCACTGACTGAATGCCTCTTCTTTCCCCCTCCTCCTTTGGTTGGGAGCAGACCAATGTTAGTCACATATATTGCTTTGTAATGGATTGGTTTTTTTCCAAGCATTTTCTCCAGCTTCAGCTTTTGACTTCTGCTTTTGTAGTGCAGTGTATGGTGTGATCCTCACAAGATGTGGCAGCATCTTGTTAGCATGTGATGTTCTTGTCACATCAGTGAACTCTTATCAAAGGTTTGATGAATCTCGCAGACGGGCACTACTGGAAACACTCAGTTGACACTCAAGAGTGAGAAAGCCAGCTGGGTGTTGTAACACACACCTGTATTCTCTGGTACAGGAGGATTTCAAGTTCAAGGCCAACCTTAGCTACTTAGTCTCAAAAATAAATAAAGTCTGGGGATGTGGTTCAATGATTTAGTGGGTTCAATCGTCAGTACCAAAAGAAAGGGGAAAAAGTGAAGCCAGGCCAGGTGCAGTGGCACGCCTGTAATACCTGGAACCCAGGAGGCTGAAGCAGGGGGATTGCAAGTTGGAGGCCAGTCTTAGCAACTTAGCAAGATTCTCAAACAATAAAAAGGGCTGGGGATGTAGCTCTGATAAAGCGCCCCTGGGTTCACTTCACAATACAAAAAAAAAAAAAGCCAGCAGCAGTAGGACTACAGTCCTTGGTATATCATCCTTCCCTAGCATGTGCAAGACCTTGGGTTTAATCCCAGAAACAAAAATATAAACATTTCATTTAGGTAGTAGAGTTCTACCAGGCCCGATGGTGCACGCCTATAATCCCAGTGATTTGAGAGGCTGAGGCAGGAGGCTTCCAGGTCAGCCTTAGCAACTTAGACCCTGCCTCAAAAGACTGAAAATGTAATCCCCAGTAAAAAAAATAATACTTTGGAGGTTGTGAATCTGAAAGAAATAGAGGCTAGCTGTGCTGAAGATAGTATACACAAATTATAGTTTCATGTAATCAGAAGAAGTAGACAGTCTTTCCCTTTTAAAATTATATTAATGGGTCTGTTTCCTTATAAACCTATTAACTGGATACATCTCACATGTTGAGAAACACTAGCCAGTTGGGAATTATTTTAAATAAGGCAGTTAAATCTTTGGTGAGCTATCTACTGTATGTATACCTGGTACTAATTCATGATGACAATTCTAAACTCAAGGAGCTTTATTGGAGAGATAAGATGAACATTAATGAGAAAGTCAATATTGACCAAATGCAGAAATGAACAGCTTGATAGCCAGTAAAAAGGTGCCTCATGAGTCATTTCTGCACATCATTCCTTACTGCTACATAGATATGGCCTAACTGCAGATTGAGCTTGTTCTCAGAAGCGTTTACTAGCTGGGGTTACAGGTGTGTACCACCATGCCTGGTTCGTTACCATATATATATTTTTAAGTTGTCAATGGATCTTTATCACTTACATGTAGTGCTTTACACATGCCAGGCAAGCACTCTACCACTGAGCCACAACCCCAGTTCCTTATTACCATTTTTCAATCGAACAATCTGGTGGCATTTGGCACATTCACAATGTTGTACAACCATTGCTTTTATCTAGTTCCAAGACATTTTCCTCATCCTAAAAGGAAACTCTCAAACCTGTTAACTACCCATTTTGTCGCCCACAGCCTCTGACTACCACTAGTCTGCTTTGTCTCTGGATTATCTCTTCAATATATAAAGGGAATCAATATATGATCTTTTATTTTCATACACCATAATGCTTTTAAAAGTTCTCTATGTTAATACCATTTATCAAAAATTCACTTATGGCTGAAAAACATTCCATTGTATGTATATGCCTTATTTTTAATCTTTTCATCAGGTTGATAAGAATTACTTCTGCCTGTTTTTTTTTTCCTTTGTGTACTGGGGATTGAACCTAGAGGCATTTCAACACTGAGCTACATCCCCATTCCTTTTTTTTTATTTTAAATTTTGAGGCTGGGTCTCACTAAATTGCTGAGAATGGCATTGCATTTGAGATTCTCTTGTCTCAGTTTCCAGAGTAGCTGGGATTAAGCATGTGTGCCATCATACCCAACTCTCCACATCCTTGACAGAATTTATTACTTTTTAAAAACGTTTCTAGCTATCATGGTGGAAGGATTGGCCTCACTGTGTTTTTTGCTCCGGACACTAAGCAAGCCTCTACTACTGCGCTGTATCCCCAGCACCTCACTGAGGTTTGGTTTTGGTACTGGGGATTGAACCCAGGGGCCCTTTACCACTAAGCTGCTTCTCCAGCCCTTTTTATTTATTTTGAGATAATCTCTAAATTGCTGAGGCTGACCTTGAACTTTGCAGCCTTCTTGCCTCAGCCTCCCAAATTTCTGGGATCCTAAGTGTGTGCCACCATCTAGCCCTTCTTGTGCTTTGGACTGGCATTTGTCTAATGACATGATAATGGACATATCTTTCTGTGCTTGTTGACCACTTGTGTATCTTTGTAAATCTACTCGAGTTTTTCACCCATTTCTCCCCTTTCTTTTTGAAATTGGTCTGGCATATGTTGCCTACACTGAGTTCATACTTGTGAGCTCAAACAATCCTCCCACCTCAGCTTGATTAGTAGCTGGAACCACAGGTATATACCACTATGCCCAGCTTCCATTTTTAAATTGGATTACCTTTTTAAGTTACAGAAAGTATTTATATAAAACTTATGAGACATTATTTGCAAATATCATCCCATCCCATGGATTGTTTCCTCTTTTGATAGTGCCCTTTGAGGCTCAAAAAGGTTTTATTTGGTTTTTTTTTTTTTTTTTGCTACTGGGGATTAAACCCAGGTGTGGTCTCCCATTGAGCTATACAACCCCAGCACCCCCACACCCTCGTTTTTAAAGATAGTTTCTCCCGAATGTGCCCAAGATGGCCTTGAATTTGCAGTCCCCCTAACTCAGGCTCTCAAATTTCTGGGATTACAGGCATTTGCCACTACCCCAAGCAAGGCACAGAAAGTTTTAATCCTCAGTATTGCAAAAAAAACAAATTTTTTCCCCTGGTACTGGGGATTGAACTCAACCACTGAGCCACATCCCAGCCCTATTTTGTGTTTTATTTAGAGACAGGGTCTCACTGAGTTGCTTAGCCTCACCATTGCTGAGGCCAGCTTTGAACTCATGATCCTTCTGTCTCAGCCTCCCAAGCTGCTGGGATTGATTACAGGTGTGCACCACTATGCCCAGACAAAAAACTAACTTTGAGCAAGCCAAGACAACTTGTCCACATTGTTTCATTTGTTACTTGTGCTTTTTATGTCATATCTTAAACCAATGGCAAATAAAAGGTAATCAGATTTACCTCTTCTAAGAGTTTTATAACTCTCATTTAGATCTATAATCTATTTTTTTGTTTTGTTTTTAGGGGGTGAGTTGTACTGGGAATTGAACTCAGGTGCTCCACCATTGAGTTAGATTCTAACTCTTTTTACTTAGAGACAAGCTTTCCCTAAATTGCCCAAACTGACTTCTAATTTGTGATCGTCTGCCTCAAGTCTCCCAAGTAGCTGGGATTATAGGCATGTGGTGGGTACTAGGGGTTGAACCCAGGGGCACTTTACCACTGAGCTGCATTCCTAGCCACTTTTTAGGACAGACTCACCATACTGTCCATGCTGGCCTTGAATTTACAATCCTGCTGCCTCAGCCTGCAGAGTAGCTGGGATTACAGGCATCCAGCACCAAGCCCTGCTCCAAAGTCATTTGTTGGAGAGACTAATCTCCTAATGAATGTTTTTGGCACCCTTATCAAGTCAGCTGACCTATATATAGCAACATGGGTTTATTTCAGGACTCTCCATTGTATTCCATCATTCTATATACCTATCCTTATGCCAATACAACACTGTAGCTTTGAGGTAAGATTTGAAATGGGTGTTACTACTTCAACTTTCTCTTTTTCAAGACCACTTTATAGTTATTCTGTGTTCGTTGAGTTTCCATATGAATTTTAGGGTCAGCTTGTCAATTTCTACAAAGGAGCCTATGGGTTAATTTGGAAAGTACTGCCATCTTTACAGTCTTCCGATTCATGAACACAGATATTTCTCCACTTAGGCCCTTTTTTTAATATTTAAATTTTAGTCGTAGTTGGATACACTAACTTTATTTTACTTACTTTTATGTGGTGCTAGGATTGAACCCAAGGCCTCGCATGTACTAATCGAACACTTTACTGCTGAGCCACAACCCCAGCCCTTATTTAGGCCTTTTAATAGTATTTTTTCAGTTTTCAGTGAATAACTTTTATAATTTTTAAGTTTTATTCTTTTGATGCTACTATAAAATGTAATTGTTTTCTTAATTTCATTTTTGGATTGTTCATTGTGAGTGTATAGAAATACAACTGATTTTTTTTTTGTGTATCTTGTCTCCTACAGCTTTGCTGAATTTGTTTACTGGCTCTAATACAGTATGTTGTATTCTTTAGGATTTCTTATCTGTGAGGTCATGTCACCTGTGAATGCAGATAGGAATATGGATATCTTTTTTATCTTTTCTTATCTGTTGCTGTAGCTAGAACTTTCATTATAATGTTGGCATCATTATATAACTTACCTTCTTTTTATTTTTTTCTTTTGAGACAGAGCACCTCTGTGTTTCTCAGGCTTGTCTCAAACTCCTGGGCTCAGGTGTTCCTCTTGCCTCAGGCTCCTGAGTAGCTGGCAATACAGGCCAATGCTTCTGTGCCCAGAGGTAACATTTCTTTTTCTTTTTTCCTTTGTGTTGGAGGATGGGTACTGAGAATTGAACCCAGGGTTGCTCTATCACTGAGCTTAATTCCCATTTTTATTTCTAGACAGGATAATGCTAAGTTGCTTAGGGCCTCCCTAAGTTGCTTAGGCTGGCCTCACACTTGCAATCGTCCTGCTCACCCCCCACCGCCCCGCCCCCGTCACTGGGATTACAGGAATGCACTATTGCAACCAGCAGCATTTCTTTTTAAAGTATATTTGCAACCTCAGTAATTTTTTTTTTTTTTTGC